GAAGAGCCGGACGGTCGTCTGGAGGACCCCGAAGCTCCGGCTTTCTACGGAGCTAGAACGTAACAGGTTTCCTGCTGAGGAAGGAAACAGGCAGCCGTCCTTCTGTTTCATTGTCGAGTTTGGCGATTTCTGACCCGGTTCTGCGTGTGTCTTCGATGCTTTTAAAGGACTTGGATGGCGCTCTTGGCGCCGAGACGCGAGAACACAGCACGGAATTGGATCCTCGAAATCTGATCCTTGCCAGACACCAATGCCCAGTGATTATGTCCCAAGGACTTTTGAGGCTCATAGAAAAGGTTTTGGCTGCACCGTGTGCTGTTGAATTTGCGATGTGTTTGTACAACCTAATCATGTTTCCAGAGCCGTTCTGGTGGGGGTGGTTGTCTGCAGGTCATTTGCTTTCTGAGACAGAATAACTGCAGAAGTTTTACACTTTGTATGGTGCCATGGTGTGTACAACATCAGTTGAAGCTACTTTAAATACTAACAAACGGAAAATACATTTGGTAAAGTCTAATGAACACAATTCTCCCCTCCCCTTGTATCAAGTGGTTTTTGTTGTTGTGGTGGTCGTTGTTTTGTTTGTTTCCTTGTTTTGGCTTTTTGAAAGCCAAAAGTCTCCCTATATAGCTCTGACTGACCTGGAACTGGCTGTGTAGATCAGCCTCACCTCAAACAGAGATCTGCCTGACTCTGCCTCCAGCTCTCCAGTGATGAGATTAAAGGTGTTCAGCAGGACCTGTGGCTTCTTATTTTCAAAAGGAGTACTTTTCTAGGCCAAGCAGCTAACCTTTTCTGTTTTTGTTTTTGTTTATTGTTTTTTTCTCTTCTCCCTCCCACTTGAGAACTTAAAACAAAACCAAGTAAAACAAAAATAGTGCTGGACAGAGTGGTAGTGAATGTCTGTAATCCCATCACTTAGAGAAGACTGAGGCAGGAGTAGCCTAAGTCTGAGGTCTGCTTGGGATACATGGGGTGACCCTGTCTCAAAAAATTATTTTTCAATGATACAGTGGGGTTTTTGTTTCTGTCTTTTTAACGGTGTTGGGGGTTGAACCCAGGAATCTAGCATGTTAGCCTACCTCTGAGCTCTACTCCCAGCTCACATAGAATTTTTTTTTTTGGGGGGGCGGGGTGGGGGGGGACACGCTGGAGAGATGGCTCAGCTTTTCCAGAGGTCTTGAGTTCAATTCTCAGCACCTACATGGTGGCTCACAACTGTCTATAGTGGGACCTGATGCCCTCTTCTGGTGTAAAGGTGAGCATGCAGACAGCACTCTTATACATAAATAAATAAAATGTCACATTCCATGAAGTGGGTCCACAATGCTGCCAGGCTGATCACTTTTCCCCAAGTGATATGTGTAGTTGAACTCATTCATGAGCAAAAGGAGAATGTTGGCTGTTTGGGACAGTGGGCACACTTAACTACACATCTGTTTTGTGGTTTTTTTTTTATTGTTTTTATATTTTGAGACAGAGTTTCTTAGAACTCTTTCTGTAGATCAGGTTGGCTGTAGCTTGTGTTTTTCCTAGGGGCTCAGCCTAGTGACTTCACTGGGTAAGTGCCCAGTAAACATCTGATAGAGAGAGGACCTGCAAATATGAGCCAGCATGGGTGATTGTTTCATGTACAAGAGATAAACTGTTGGGCAGAAATAAATGATTAAGTATGTTCTTTCAAGGGGAAAGGAGTTAACCTAACAGTCACTTAAAAATTAGATTTATATGTTTAATAATGTATGTATGTGAACCACATGCTTGCCTGGTGCCCATGCAGGTCAGAAGAGGGTGTCAGATCTCCTGGAACTGGAGTTTTGAATGGCTGTGAGCCAACATGTGGGTCCTAGGAACTGACTTTGGGTTCTCTGGAAGAGGAGTCAGTAGTCTTAACCACTGAGCCATCTCTCCAACCCCAACAGCCACCAGCCACTTTTTGTAAACTTTTACAAATGGAAGGTCTCAGTTGTGTTGGGCAGTCTCTCAAAAGGTGAGCTATTACATACACAGAGAAAAAACTGTTTTGATTTAGTTCCAGCTCTTGAATAACAGCTTCAATAAAAAGGAAACTTCTAGTTTTTACATGGGTACTGTAGGTGATCTAGATTTCGTTGCCCACTCCTCAGCAATCGTTGAGATGTGTACGTTCCTCTGTAGATTTCCCCGTCTGTCCTTCCCTGCGTTCTGTTTGATCTATTTTGAAATGACAATGTTCCTGGTTTTGGAGGGTTTTTTTGTTTGTTTTTGTTTTTGTTTTTTGAGACTCTCTTCCCGGGGCTAGACTAGAACTCACTATCTCCACCTCTTGAGTGTGAGGATTACATACCTGTGCAACCACATCACCCACCTTTTTTAAAGTTCATTTCAGGGTTTTCGGGCTAGGGATAATGTTCAATGATAGAGTGCTTGGCTAGCATTCACAGGCTCTTCCTTCTACCTCTAGCACCAAAACCAAACTACCAAAAGTTTCAAACAAATTGTCTGCAAATGTCATATGAAGAAGTCAGTCAGCCTATTGGCAAGTGATAATCTTACCTTTTCTGTATTTTAAAATGTAGCTTACATACTTGGACCATATTATATCTTTGTTCACATTTCAGCTCGGTGTTTCTGGAAATGGGACAGATTTTTTTTCTGTAAGCAGAAGGATTAATTGCCTTCCAGCCTTTCCTTTCAGAGTACCTGTGGCCTCGCAGCTCGATGCTCAAACTTTATCCCTCAGAGCACCATGTTATCAGCTGAGGAACTGTGGTCACTTTTCTTTGCATTTACGATGTCTCGTGCCACACAGTTACACACTGCTTCCGAATTCATCCTAGCACCTGCTGAGCCCCGCCCCCAACGTGTGTCCAGCACCCTGTGGATCCCAGCTCACTCATTTCTGACCACCCTGTACATCCTTTAAGTGCTCAACTGCCAACCTTTTGCACATATTTTTTAAAAAGCAGCCCAACAGAGACTTCACACACGGTCCATCCATAAATTCACAATTTTTAAATAAAGGGGCGGCCATCGCCACAGTCTAATTATAGCTGAAAGAACCTTATGCCCACCAGCAGCCCTCGCCTCCCAATCAGGCCCACGGCCCTGGGCCCAGAGGCCAGCGAGGGGACTTTACACCAACGGGCGTGTCCTGCTTTGCTCCGATAACTTGC